ATACTGTGGAGCAATCTCTAGCCCTGCCTGTCCCAAGTAGTTGAGCAGCAAACCCAGCAACCTTGAAGTCAAGCCTGCAACCCTGTCCAATTATAGATTCTAAACAGCAGTAGCACTCAGCCAGGGAATATGGCCAGCAACCCTGCCTAATCAAAGGTAATTGCAGAGCCCAGCCAGCAACTCCACCTGACCTCAGAACCCAGTCAGTGGCCTCGCTGTTTGATGGAGCACAGCCAGTGGTTTCACAAAACCATGGAGTACAGCCAATAGCTTCACTGACCTCAGTGCACCAGCAGCAGACCAGCTACAGAACCCAACAGCAAGGTCTGCCTGCCTATGGTCACTACTCGATGGCCAATCCAGACTCTCAGGCTAAACAGTGAAGGTCTACCCCCTTCACCTCAAGTGAGAGGGGTGTAGGGCAGAACACTTGGAAAAGCTGGAAGAAGTGGCCACTTCAAGCACACAGAGACCAATGCAAGGATACAAGGATGATGAAGAATCAGAGAAAAGTGACACCACTAAAAGAAAGTAATAAAGCACCAATAATGGACTCTAAAGAAATAAGATCTATGAAATGACAGACAAAGAATTGAGAATAATCCTCTCTTTAAAATGTTCAGGGAACTACAAAAAAATGCAGAATAAAAAATCACATGAAATTTGAAAAACAACAAAGTAAGTTTGACAAAGAAACAAATTTTAAAAATGAAATAGAAATCTTAGCAATAAAAAGTACAGTATCTAAATTGAAAAATTCAATAAAATGCTTGAACAGTATACTTGATCAGGCAGAAGAATCAGTGAGCCTAAAAGAGGACATTTAAAATTATCCAGTCAGAAGAGCAAATAGATAAAGAATGGAAAAGAATGAAGAAAGCCTACAGGTATTATGAGATATCACCTGAGAAATAGGAGTGTCTGAAGGAGAAGAGAGGGAAAAATGACCAGAAAGCATATTTAGGAAAATAATGGCTGAAAATTCTCCAAATCTAGGGAAAGACACCAACATTCAGGCACAGGAAGCTCAGTGGTCTCCAATCCAATTTAACCCAAAGAGTTCACCAAGATATATCATACTCAAACTGCTAAAATTCAAAGATAACTGTTAAAATTCAAAGCAGCAAGAGATAAGAAACATATCACATACTAGGGAGCTGCAATATGGTTAACAGTGGACTTCTCAAGAAAAGCTACCTGTCAACCAATAATACTTTATCCAACAAAACTGTCCTTCAGTAATGAGGGAGAAATAAAAACTTTCCCAGACAAATGCTAAGGGAATTCAACATCAGTAGGCCTATCTTACAAGTACTGCTAACACAAATTCTTCAAACTGAAGTAAAAGATCATTAATTAACACCATAAAATACATGCAATTATAAGACTCAATGGTATAAGTAATACATAATCATATTCAGAATACTCTAGTACTTTAATGGTGGTATGTAAAGCAATTTTATCTTTAATATGAGGGTTAAAAGACAAAACTAATTAAAAATACCTATAGTTACAGGACACAAAATTAGAAAAAGACGTAAATGTTGAAATAGAAATAATAAAATGTGGAGGAGGGAAACAATTTAACAGAGTGAAGAGACAA